CGGCGCAGTTGTTGTGCCCTGGTTGCGTGGCCGTTGCCCCGTCCCGGGAAAGAGGCGGGCCGCAGCTGCTGGGGAAACATCAGGACCCCAGAAAACTAGATCACAGCCTTTCAGCCTGAAAGCTTATCGCTGTTTGATTGACACCAGCCGTGAAAGCCTACACCAGTATAATGAAATATATGGCATGTCTATTTCAATTATCCTTCTATCTCCATCACAGAATTTTCTGAGCAAAAGACAGGTTTATTTTTCAGTCCAGAATACCACATTAGTTTCAATGTTAAAATATCCCCAGTAGACATTTCTGCAGTCAGAGTGTGGCCCAATCATGGAACAGATTTGCAATAAATGAATATTAGACGACAGATATGCCTGCAAACATCTTTAGCATCGTTTTACTTCCTCTCTGCTTTTCCAATGGGACAGACAGGAAGGGGTATGTTCACATTGGTGGGAGAGGGCAGAGCTGTTTGTATCCAGCTTAGCTTCTGCACTATGTTTACTTAAAACTATCAGCAATTGGTAACACAAACTTCCCCCCCAACTGGCACCATCCAGATGCTTTGGGAGTATAACTCCCTTAATGACACATGGCCAACAATTGTGAATCTGGGAATTTTAGTCCCAACACATCTGGAGGGGGCCAAGTTGGGAAAGATTGTATTAGTATAATAAAAATCTGAGGATGGGGAGCATGTTGCAAACAACATAAGAACAATCCTACAGGATCAGATTTAAAATCCATCTACTCAAGAATCTGTTTTACACAGTAGTTAACAACCGGATGCTTCTGGGAAGTCCGTAAATGGAATTGGGAGGCAGTGACCCTTTCTTCCAGCAAAAACTATTTACTGCCATCGTATGTCATGGTCTCACATAGCCTTTGATAAATCTATTAGCCACTAACAGATCTATTAGATCTTCACAAATAGCAACTGATTGATCTATCTAACTTTCACAGACTTATCTTATCTGCTAACAAAGCTAACTCAGCCAATAGCATGCCATCATCACCTCCTAGTGGTAAATCCCATAATTTAGCCTCAAGATGTATGAAGTAAATAAACATGACCCGACTCTCCTACCCATCAATTTCAGCCACATGATTTTGGATTCTGGTATTATCCAATTTATCTTCCCAATCTAATATTTTACAAACCTTGCTCTAATCTCCCCTTAATGGTTCCCTTCCCACTCTTTCTACATGAATCCCAGTTTCATTTAAACTTTCCTTGTGGAAAAAGCCATCTTCTGCAACTTGCTGTCCCTCAGAAGTGTTGAACTAAAGCACGCATGACTTCAACCAGCACAGCAACTGGGCTTGCTACAGTACTACAATATGGGCACTGTAGTTTGCTATATCTGAGGGTGATAGGTTGGAGAAAACTGTTGTTGAAAAAATATGCACCACTCTCTAACTGCATTGTGTGTACCCTCCAAAGACAAGTCCTGCTCTCCAGAATTCCCTATCCCAACTTCTCTAGCTCCTCCTCACTTGGTGTGTGTGGGTCTTCCCCACTCCTATTTTACCCTTCTCAGGGTACCCTTCCCACACTGTTAGATATGTTCGGAGTACCTTATTTTCTTAGAGTGTCCTTCTTGTCCACCTTACTTCTTCTCCTCTCTCTTCCTTTTGAATTACTGATCCTCCCAGTGCAATCGCTCTCTACTCTATCACTTTCGGATCAGTCCAAGGAGGTACTTAATGCAACCATATGAAACCTTTTTCCAAGAAAACTCCCAGTACTAAAGCAGCACACCTCCCATACACCTCCAGACAGATGTTCTCAGAATTAATAAGTTATTGAGTACTTCCCAGTTGGAAAAAAAAAAAACTAACTAAACCTGCTGGGCAGGTTTAAAGAAATCAAGAAAGCTGGCTCCATCATTCCAATTGGAAATGCCACCCTCCTTTTCTTGCCTGGCATACTTTAGACTGTTTCAAAATGGACAGGAAATGATCATGATCAATTATTTTTTGTCATTCCTGCCATTATGAGATAGGATGCCTCATATTAGAAAAAACACACACCTGTTGATTGTTCTTCACATTCTGGCGCATTTATAACTCAACTCTTACCTCATGAAAGAAAGCTTCAATCTTGTAAGTGTTCTGTCAAATCAATGGAGGAGATGTGATGCAGCTAATGCAAAGTATGGGGAATCTGCAGCTTACTTAAAAAGTAGTAAAAAAAAAAAAAAGACCTTCAGGTTCCCCATGTTTGATCCAAGGTTGTACAGAATCTCAGATGAAAAAATTTTCAGTACCTGTAATATGACTGATCCTAAACAAACTGAGCTGGAAAAAATACAGGTAGTCCTTGCTTAACAATAGTAATTGGGACCGGCAACTCCGTCGCTAAGTGACACAATCTTAAAGCGGAAAATCATGTGACCACAACGACTATGACAACAGTTCCAGCAATCCCGGTTGCCGTTGTAGAGCAAATCACCCACAGTCATTAAGCGAGATGTTATGTTACCGTGACTTGCAACCTCCTGCCAGCTTCCCTGTTGACTTTATTTGTCGGAAGCCAGCAGGGAAAGCCAGAAATGGTGATCACATGATTCCAGGATGCTGCGACCATTGTAAATGTGGGCCAGTTGCCAAGCACCCAAATTTCAATCGCATAACCAGAGGGGCACTGTGACGGCTGTAACTTCAAGGACTGGTCCTACTTATTCAGTACTGTTGTAACCTTGGTCACTAAACAAGTGGTCGTTAAGTGAGGACTACCTGTACAATCGATGTTCAGTGGAGTTTACTGTAAATTTTAATGAAATCATCATTTAAGCCCACTTAAAAGGATCCCTGTGTATTAAGTCACTTCTTGGCAAGAAAGAATTCCCTGGGTTTGCTTATTTGTTTGTTTGTTTGTTTATTAAATTTGTATGCCTCCCATCTCCCCCAGAGGGTGATTTAATACACAGTATTTAAAAAATTGGCTCCAGGTCTGCAAATACTGTAGCATGAATAATAAAAAGAAAGTTTATTTGCACAATGGAACTTATAATTAAATATCTGTGATTATACTAAGCTGGATCAATATTTAGTCCTAGCTAAAATGAATGGGAGTTGTTAACTTAAGTTCTATTGAATTCATGGAAATCTGTTGTTTAACTCTGGATCTGCCATTATTTCAGCACATGCATCTTTCCTACTCATATTTACAAAGCATTCTGATGACTATCTAGGGTTGCATGTATATTTGTTTATGTATATGTGGTATTCCGCCATGTTTTTGCATACTTCACTTCAACTGATCTAATATAAATGTGCACACATTAAAAGACAATTGCAGCAACAATCCAGTGTATTCCAATAGTGCACTTCTGAGATTTCTCAAGGCTTTTCTGCCTTTAATTGTTAGGATTCCACCTCTTGGGTGCTTCCTGTTGATAGGTCCTATTGTGTATATGTGTACATATATATGTGTATATGTGTATAGGTACATGAATCATAGAGTTGTATAGGTGAAGGGATCTAAAATGACTTTTTTAGAAATGGCCCAACATAATCCTGCCTCATGCTTCAAAAAGCAGTCTGTTTCCATTGCTTGGGGCTCTTCCCTTATCTTGCCTCTCATTCCTGGCTTCTTTCTCTAGCAATGGACACACAATTGGGAAAATACAGTATGCTCGCATGCAGAATGCCTGGTATGCGAGCATTACATGTTGCGGTTGTTTGGAAACTAATGTGTTTGCTTCGCTTTTGAATGGGAAATTTTTCAATGCATTTGTTTACGTGTTTAACAATTGACTTCAAAGTGCTCCTGGAAGTTTTTGCAAAACAATGGATAAATGTTTAAAAATACATGTAGAGAAATATGCAGAGTGTGGGAAAGAGAGAAGTAATGTGTGTTTAGGCTTGAACCTGGTGGGATCTCAGTGGGTAGAAGAGGGCACTTGGTATTGGACAGCTTAAAATGATGATATATGAACACTGATTGATGGTTGAGCAACTTTTGATCAGAAAAAGAAAAACCCTGATTGGCTGGCAGTTCTCTACAAGCTGCAGTTCACAAACGTAGACATAAAATCACGCTCAAAGCATTCTGATGCTTGAATGTATCTGCTATGGTCAAAACAGCTGGTCACCTGAACAGTTAGCCTCTGCTACTCTACCTTAAAATGAGTGCCAAGAATCAATGAGAGAAGTCACAATCGCTACAAATATCTGATATTAACACATTTTAAACTAAAGAAACTTTATAGTAAAAAATGATACGATTCAAATTATAGATTTTATGAAGTTTGCCAGCTAATCAGAGTTTTTTTCCCAATATCCAGCCTGTTTGCAGTCCAGTTATAACTATAAAAACCAGTTTCCAACTTATTGCCAGGAAACTCACACAAACACACATCCTGTCCCATCCACCCATGAAACCATTAAGAAGTGCAGACTTTCCTTCCAGTCTCTCGTACTTCCATGAACCAAGCTGGCAACCGTAACCACCACTATCGTTAACTGCTCCTCCATTGTTTTACCAATATCCTAACATTTGGGATGTAGCTTCACATGTGTCAGTAATGTATGTTTTTCTCCAAAGATGACTCATACTAATTCTTTTAATTACCCAGGTTCAAGCAGGTAAAGCAGGTAGCTTGACTCCTGATTAATTAAAGCCACAGCTGATCTGCAAAACTCAAATTAAGTCAAACTGGCTGTATAATTCAACTGGTGGGGCAAGTGGGAGAGGTGGTACGAGAAAACTCCCTCTTTCACTTAGGCTGAAAGACCAGCTGCTGATAGACGTCGTTCTTCTCTCTGTGGTCAATTCTCAGTAGCCATTAAACCCCAAAGGCAGCAAGGGAGGTAGGACAAGGCCCAATGCTGGCTCAGCTGAAGGATCAGCTAGTACTCCATTCCAACTGATCATGATCAAAACAATGTTCCAGTAAGTTTTAGTGCCTGAGTTTATTTTCTCATCTCTTTTGCTGTTTATGTTGTTTTATCAGGCTGTATATTTTTGCATGGGACTGTCTTCTTTTTCAGTCTAGATACTGTGCCTGTACATTCAAAGCATTTTTTTTTAAAGGAAGGCAATATCACTGTAGTTGCAGAACTACTTACTCAGACATGCAAAGCAGCATGCGTGTAATGCTTTTCCATCATCTATTTGCTTTGGGTGCATTTTCTACCCCTTGGTGCCTTCCAGATATGTTGGACCACAGTTGCCATAATTCTCACCCCCAGCTCAACCAGGACCAGGTTGGAAAAGGCTGCTGTAGAGCATTTCAATTAGAGGTAAATAGATTATTTTTAGAAAAACCTGGGGTGGCAAAGAGAAGTTTTGAAAAATCTCCTTTACAAATTACATAAATTCTTAAATATGGAACTGTTGCTTTGGTAGAATGCAAGTAAAGACTTAGTTGACCAATTCTTTACAAGGAACACAGCCAGAGAGCTAAGAGATCTTGGAGAAAGAGATCAGATTTTCCTACTTGTGCTCCATCACAGCAACCTGGCCATATCTTTTTTCTGCTGTGTCCCCATGCCATTCCTTTCACCTCATTCCCAGCCCTTGAGTGAGATAGGCTTAAGGTGACCTTAGCTATACTGGCAAATTCTGATGGCCTCAAGATGTATCAGGTCGGTTTGGTTTTGTGGCCCATTATTTTAGAGGGAAGCTGGGCAATTGGCAATTATTGGGCAAGAACCCAAGCAATAGAGAGAAGCAGGATAAGAGCAGAGCCAACTCCACTGCTCGTATAGCTTTCTGCTGACTTAAAGGCAAATGGGGAACGCTTCGTTTCAGCAGTAGGGTTGAGAGGTGCATTAGGAGAGGAGGCAGAGGGTGGAAAAGGCAACAAAACCAATATATATAAAACAAGAAAAAAGGGAAATGCCAGTAGCCCTCAAAACAATTACTCTATAATTAAGCAAAATGGAGGAGTTAGTTGATTAACTTATACCAACCAAAGATTGAGTCAGATGTTTATCTGATTAAATGAGAGTTACAATATAATAATTCTCTACACCTCTGATATTACACTATTAGGAAAAGAACATGTAAGAGAGACCAGAAACTTACCGGCCATAGCACGGATCCAGAAGGAAGAGTTTGACTGAGTCTCTGACTGAAAAGCATAAAGAAAAAGAGGACAGGAATCAGAGGCATTAAGAAAATCTAAAGGGGGTCTTAGACTTGTTTTAGAAGGGGCCAAAAACACATATAGAGAAGATAGTTACACAGGGAAATAAGGGGAAAAAATCAACATAAACAGTAATAACTTCCAAAGGACCTTTCTAAGTATGGTACTCTTTGATCATTCCTAAACTAGCAGAAATTTATTGGCCTGAAATGTTTGGTCTCCATGGCCAACATACAGTTTTTCCTGCCTGTTTCAAGTCACATGAATTCCCTTCAAAGGCATGGGTGACAAAGATCTGACACAACTTGAGGCTGCCCTTGGACAGTGGCAGGATAAGATGAAAAATATTATTTTAACACTGGAACAACTAAGGATGATCTATGCCCATGTCACTGCTGGGCTGTGGATGAGATGAAAGCAATAATATGGAACACAGAAAAAACAAATCTTATTTCAGCTGTGGTTTGGTGAACTGGGGACATGGCCAGATTCTCAACAATGAGCAAAGCTTCAATAAAGGAACTTAAGGAACAACATTTACAATATGAGGAAACCCCTGTGGAACACATGAGACTGTTACTTACTACAAAG